TTCCCTTTTTTACTTTTAAGATTCCATTAGCAGTGGGATCTTGCCAGAAGGTCTTGGAAACCTCTTTTCAGAGTAAGGGAACTGCAATGTTAGAGGAGGTACATCAGCAATTCCCTTACCTGAACCACCTATTATAGCAGCACTAGAGATAGCATCTAGGCCATGGGGGTTAAGAGGCCTGAGTACTGAATGAGTAATTCCAACTCCAGGGCAACCGCAGCATGTGGGGCCTGTCTCAGAACAAGGAACAAGGCTATTGGCACTGAGGAGCAAAGACAATACACTAGAGTCTGGTCAGTGCCCTTGAATCTCTCCAGACCAATGCTGACAGTAATTTTCTGTAAGAGGAATTTCCACCACTTCTCAGAGTTTTTGTGTCCTGTGGCTGGTATCTTGCAGAAAGGCCCCTCTGTTCTGTAGTAAAAAGCCCTCTAAGTCCAGCTTAACTTCAACTGCTTCCAGTGCTGACGCCTGGTGGTGAAATGTGTTGCTGCATCTTCTTCCAGCAATATTCTAAGTAGTATTTACTCCCCCCTGCCTGGAATGAAATTAATTTGTAGCTTTGCCTAGAGACAACTCTAGGCTGTCGGGCTGGAACTGATCCTCCAGTGAGTTTTCTGAAGCTGTAAATTGCATAGGAGGAGAGTGTCCATCTTTCTTCTGCAGGGCAGCTGATGGACTTAAACTACCAGAGAGATGTATGTAGCCTTTGGTTTAACAATGCAACTCCCTACAGACTACACCACCAAAGTTTCCTGCCTAGAGAGAAGGACCCGTCATTGATGACCCCATATGTCTTTCTACCTTAGGAAACACACATCTTCTTAAGGAATTTTCATTTCCATAATCTTTTCAATAATTATCCAAGATTTTTTTTTTATTTTTTAGTATAAACAGTGCCTCAAATCCTCCCTGGGAGACAGAGCATGAGTAAACTCATTCTGCTCTCTCCTTATTACATACTCATACCCACCTCATCACTGAGCTCATGCCCACTGAGCCCCCAGCTCCATCCTATCTCTCCCTCCTAAGTAAAGCATAAAGAAACAGAGCATAAACGTTTTCTTTTCAAACAAGGCGTAGTAGACAGACAAATAACTAAAAAGCTGGTCCAGAGAAGCCTGAGGAGACATAAGGTAGGACAGACAAAATATATAAGGAGTCAATGAGGCGTCAAAACTCAAGCTGAGTCTACAGAAAAGCAGGAGCTCTCCCATGGGTTAAAGCAATATCTATGGCTAACACAAGTTCAGAACTATGTCCTGAGCTTATGCACCGTGTCCTTAGATATTTTGAATTCTAACTTTAGCTGGTGGTACTGTCCTTGCTATGCCTGGCCTAGTCCATGCTGTGGGGCCCTCTTCTCTATATGGAAAGGTTTTTTTGATGATTGATTGTCTCTATCTGATAGCTGAGACAGTAGCCACCGTGGGAGAAATCAGTCCGATATTTGTTGTGCCCATAAATCTTTAAATGACATGGGAGGGAAGATGGAGCCTCAAACCTCCTTGGTAGGACAGGTTAATGGATTGGATGTTTTGCTGGAACACCCTGACAGTGCACCCCCTTTTGTAGGGTCTGTTAAAATGCTTGGTTCTTGACCCCTTCAGTTTTTCACTACTGCTTCCCTACCTGATTCCAGGGCAGTGTGTCAAAATAAAGCTTCTAGAGAAGTCAGCCCAGACTATCAAAGAACGCAGAGCAGAGAAAGAATATTCTGGTGATCCAGAAATGTAAGACAGATCCCCAAAAAAATGATAAAAAGAGAAAGAGATGATAGACCTTAAAGTATTGATCTTTGCCTAAGGTCAAACTTCAGTGCTAAGAAGTCAGAGCTGATACGGGCAGACTTAGTCGTTTATTCCTGAGTACATCAAATTATTTCAACATTTATTATATCCTAGGTACTATGCAAGAAATGAGTGTTGCAAGCTTAGTGCTTTCTGAATGGTGCTGCTTCATCCCCCCGATGCTAGTTTCCATTCTGTGCTGGGTATAAACTCTACACTGGGTTAGAAATGCTATTCTGCAAGGGTTGTCCCCAGTCTGACTGTGTGCCTTCCTTTCCTGCAGACCCCAGTCCGGTGCCCTCATCGTCCAGCACCTATCACGCCATCATAGGTGGGATTGTGGCTTTCATCGTCTTCCTGCTGCTCATCCTGCTCATCTTCCTTGGCCACTATTTGATCCGGCACAAAGGTCAGAGTCATGAGAGACTGATTAGTAGAGCTTGGGAGGTGGTCAAGAAGGTCACTCAGGGAGAGGCAGAAGGGAGCAGGTTGTAGTAAGGGACTTGGGAGACTTGGTTGACTCCTTGGGATGCTTGAGAAAAAGACAAGACTGTAATCAATCCCGTCTCTGCCAACCCTGTGACAGCCTGCACCAACAGCCCCACAGTAAAGCCTGATCCTTTGGTGATCATCCAAGTGAAATCAACCTTCCCACTCAGTCAGCTGCTGCTCTGTACTGCTCTGCCTCCAGGGTCTCCCGCTGGAAGACAGAAAGCTCCCTGCAATTCTGCATCCCCAATCCACTTCTCCTCACACTGGCTTCCTCTCCAGCCATCCAGCCTCCTTTTACTTCTCCCTTGACCTCACCCCATTCCCACACCCATCTCTGTCCTTGCCTCTCTTTTTACCTGCTCAACTATATCCTGTGCACTCCCTCCTCTCAGTCCTTCCTCCCAGACTTCCCGTGTCATTATTTCTGGTCAGCAGCTTGACTGCATGAGTTGGTCAAATGCTAGGCAGACCTTGGCTGCATTGTTTATGAAGCTGACAAAGCAGTTTCCCCTTCACCACCTTAGAAACATTCACACATGCTCATAGACATATGTACACGCATTCTCTCTCAGGCACACACAATCCAGTACTTAAATACTTGCCCGTGGTCTTGTGGTCTCTCTCTGTCTCTCTGTCTGTCTCTCTTTCACATACACATCTTTTATATGCTTCTGCCTGTGTTATAGATAAGATTTTAATTAAGGGCAAGATTCATGGGGGTGTGGTCAGCTGAGACATGAGAAGCAAAATGCAAATTAGGTAAGGTGGAGAGGAAGAAAGGAGCGATGAATGAGTACCCTGTAGGCGGTGGTGGGAGGGCAGGAAAATGGGCAAAGTGGGCTTCAAAGGCTTGGAAGCTGCTCTTGAAAAGAGAAGCCTCTGTCTTTACCCAGGAACCTACTTGACGCATGAGGCGAAAGGCTCAGACGATGCCCCTGACGCGGACACGGCCATCATCAACGCAGAAGGCGGGCAATCAGGCGGGGATGACAAGAAGGAATATTTCATCTAGGGGTGCCCGCCCACTTCCTGTGCCCCCCTGGGGCCCAGTCGGGACTGCTGGGGCCATCACCAACCTGGACTTGTACAGAGCGACCCCAGGGCCGCCCCTCCCGCTTGCTCCCCAGCCCACCCACCCCCCTGTACAGAATGTCTGCTTTGGGTGCGGTTTTGTACTAGGTTTGGATTGGGGAGGGAGGAGGGCGGGGGGGAGGGGAGGGTTGCCCTCGGCCCTTTCCGTGGCTTCTCTGCGTTTGGGTTATTATTATTTTTGTAACAATCCCAAATCAAATCCGTCTCCAGGCTGGAGGAGCAGGGGTCCTGGGGTGCAGAGAGCAAAAACTGGAACGTTAGAAGGAGAATAAAGGTGGAAGAGTTAGGAAGGGGCGAAGAATAGGGCTGATTTGGTGGCGGCGGTGGTGGTAGTGGTGGGGGCAGGGTTAGGGGGTTTTCACCAGCCCTCCATATTGAAGTAGTTTCCCCAGACTCCCCCAGGGGCTGGAGGGCTGTGAACAAGAGCCAGAGGTGGCTTTTCTTTGAATAGCCACACAAAGTAAGCTATGAACCGGGAGGCAGGGACCACCAGACACTCCCGTTCTACCACAAAAGTGAAGTGAATGGAGGTGTGACCTGTAGCCATTCAGAGCCCCAGAGCTTGGGCATGAAGAGAAACACAGGTCCTGGCAAAGAGGGGTGGCAGAAGGGTGGCAGATGCTGTCTCACCTGGCCCCTTGCCCCACGATGCATGGGTAACAAGCCCTTTCCCCAAGAACTGCCCTTGGGGAGAGCAGAGCGTGGCTGCCACTCCTACAGCAGCTGTGGAAGAGGTGCTGCTGGGGGGCATGGACTGTGGCTGCTTCCCCACCCAGGGCCCCTCTGTCTTCCCCAGACCCCAGACTGTTGCACGGCAACCACTCCTCTCAAGGCATTGCTCAGCAACTCCTCCTCCCTCTCCCCGCCACCCTGTGCCCCTTCCCTTCCTCTCAGCCAGTCCTTAGCTCTTCCTCCCTCAGCAGCCAGGCAGATATAACAACAAAAATCACTAAAAGGAGCTTCACTGCACTGAGCTGTTTTCTGCCCACACTAAGAAAATAATGTGAACTCTACGAGTGCGCGAAAGTGTGAATGTGCGTGTGCATGTCCGTGGTGAGTATGTGCGTTTCTGTGTCTGTACCTGTGTGTGTGTCTGTACCCGTGTGTGTGCACGCATGCGTGTGAGGACAGAGACTGGAGAGCAGGGACATGGGTCCAGGTCCTGGGAGGGTGGGCGGGGCTGTGGGAGAGGGAAAGGAGGGTTTTGGGAAAGGACGATTCCTAGTCACCTGTGCCAGCTGGGATGTTGCTCTATCCTGATGCCACTCTGCATGCCCATCTCTCTTGGAGAAAGGAGCCCCAGGATGAGTTTTGGCTCACTTGTCCAACCCATGTTTCTCCCTCCAAACAGAGCACTCAGTCACTTCCTTGTTTCCCCAAATCCATGCCGTGGAGTCAGTGCCACAGCCTTTGCTATGCACCCCCTGGCCTCTCCCTGGCACTGACCCTGGAATACCCCATGCCCTATGACTGGACCCAGTAAGTTGAGGGCTAAAAGTGAAAGCCTCTATCCCAACTCCTGCTTTTGATTTTCTGTCTTCCTTCCCTGGCCCGAAGCTGGTTGCCGTGGAGATGAGGTGGCTCCCCCTCCCTGTCCCAGACAACCTGCCCCCACTCAGACCCAGGATGCCCCCTGGCACTGCTCGCCCTCCTCAGCATGTCCTTCCTGCTATGACAATGGGCGTGCGAAACAGGGGCAGCTGCAATTCAGCAGGTCTGCCCACACCCTCAGTTCAGGTAATACCGCTGTGAATCTTCCAGTCTCTGGTTTGGGGCCTGGGCACCACAGGGCACCCCTTACCCAAGCCAGGGCCCCCTCCACTAACAGCAACAAGGGAAACTGCAACCTAGGTTTGCTAGGCTCCCTATTTCCCAGCACCTGCTTTTGGGAAAACAACTTTTCCTCTTTGAGCTGAACCACTCTGTCCATATTACACAGAAGCCATATTTGTATGGGGGGCGGGGGAGCGAGGGGCTGTTGTGCTGTGTGTGTGTCTGTCTGTGGGCGGGGTGGGGGGAAGGGAGCAGGGAGGGGATCGTGTATCTTTATAATCTTTCTAACTCTCCTGTGCTAATCTCAGAGGGGCCACCCTCAATATATCTGGATTATCCGTGTTCTTTGGCTGCCTCCTTTTTGTGGATCTCACTGCTACTGGGCTGTGTATATAGGGCTATTCCTTTGGTACCCCTTGTACCTGGTACCTCACCGGGTGACATGACCATCTGCATGCCACCCACTCAAGATACTCTGGGAAACAATATAAATAGCTTTTGAGGGAGTTAGGTGTGTTCCCCCTTTTATCCTGGGGCTGGGGCACCTGACAGTCCACATTCCCCATCCCAACCTCTACCCGACAAGACTGAAGAAAGTTTGACACAGAAGAGACAGCTGTCCCTGGAAAGCGTCACCAGACTTTCTGCAGCCTCACTTTCTAACCTCTCTTAGGTTGACTCTGGAACTTGAGCTAGTGAGTGTCCTTAGGACAAAAGGGAAGTATGTCTCTAAGGGAACTTCTGTACTGCGGTCTGAAGTACTTTGCTCCTAAGCCCCCTTGTCAAGTCTCTACCCCACCCCGAGGCATGAGGTTGAAGCTCCTTAGTAAAATCAAAATGAAAACACCCCACACTTTTTGGACAATAAACCACTGTCCCATGTACAACCCGTCTCTACCTCACCACTCCAAATGGGACACTCCACTGCTTGCCTCTTAATTTCTAGGCTTTGTCTCCAACGGAGAAGGTAAAATGTAGGGGTGAGGAGACCTGGCATATATCTTGGGAAAGCAGCAGGGGTGGGAAGGAGCTTCCTAAGAAGAAAAGGGTTGAATTCAGTGAATCCGTCTGCGGGGTAGATGCCCTTTCTCCCTGGTGGCCAAAAAGAAATAGAAGCTTTGTCCCCTGTAAGAAATTTTACATTTCGCTAAGATGTCAGGCCAAAGAAACAGTTTCCATAGTTTTATGTTCTCCAACAGAAATATGACTGGAGCTTTCCCCATGGGCAACAGTCCTATTTTAAAATATGCTGTTACATAGTTCCCCTGAGTCTACTTTAACTTGTCAGACCATGTGTTCTGTTTGGTAGAGAAGATGCCTTTGCTGCGCCCATAGGTGGCTAGACAAATGCCAACTGCTCCCTGAAGTAACTATATTATACAGCCTGAGAGCCACTCCCAGCCTTTCACCTCTCCCACCAAAAAACCCAGACAGCCACCCAACACACAGATACATGTCTCTGAATACAGACAACCACACAATGGCAAACATACACATTTTTAGCATCACATGGATCCAACCATAAGTGCCCACTGATGGCTCCTCAAAATCCATAGCTTTTGAGTCAACTGTTTTTCCTTGGATCAAGTTCAAGGAACTAGAGCCCCTCGAGAATCATCAGCTGCCCTTTCACTCCAACTTCCAGGCAGCTCTCTTGTCTGTGTCTCACATTTCACCCCTGACACCTCTTCCTTCCTTCTTCTGGAAGAAATCGTTCTTGCTGGAAAGTCCCCTGACTTTTCCAGCCTCCCCTTCCAGCTCCCTCTACTCTTTCCACCTTCGGGAAAATAGCCATTTTTCTGGTCCCCCACCTTTTTCTTTTCCTGAGTCCCGTTTCCATCCAGTTAAGTAGACTTTCACCTCAAAACAGGAAGTCAGGGGCCAGTGCCCCATGTAGGAATGAGGTTGAGACAGGCAGTGGGTGTGAGGTTAAGGTTTCCTGAATGACCCTCCCATCCACCCCTCGGCTCAGCCCAGACTCTGATGGTCTTCTTTAGTCCTTGGCACTTATCTTGGAACCACAGCCGTTGGCAGTGGGTCCCAGCCCTTCTGACAGCCCTGAGCTCAACAGTGCCATGGGGAACTGTTTGCAGCGGGTGAGTGTGGGATACAGCCCTCTGAACTCTTACCTCTTTGCTCTTTCCCTTCACTGCCTGCTTATATTTGGGGTCTTTATACTTTTCCCTTTTTCTCATTCTTTCCAAGATGTTCTCTCACTTTTATGAATCCTTCTGAGATTTTCTCCTCTTTTACCTCAGGCTTTTTTGGTTCCTGGTTATTTTCCTTCTTGCTCTTTCAGTTCAGGTCCAGGCACTCAGCCCCATACTCATTGTCCCTTTCTGGCCTTTCCTTACTCTTCCAGGTCTGTCCATCACTACTTCCCTGGGTTTTCCATGGCTCTTTGTTCTTTGGGTTCTGAGTCTTCTGCTTTGCCCCCATGCTGACTGTGACAAACATCTCCAGCTCCTTATTCTCCCAGCCCCAGCTCTCCCTCTGTCCTCTCCTTCCACTGTTCCTCTCTGATCCCAGGAGACTTTTCAGTGGGGAATGGATTGCCCTGATTGACTTGCTGGGTATATCCTCCAGGTGAATACTGTTTTCTCCACTGACAAGAATTCAAGTACTGTGATCTTGGAAGAGTTCTACTGGAATGACTCTTATGAATCATATGACTATGATGACAGCAGCCTAGAAGCAGCCGCCCCCTGCCATTCCTGCAGCCTGCTGGATGACTCTTCACTGCCCTTCTTCATCGTGGCCAGTGTGCTGGGCTTCCTAGCTGGTGGAGCTGTCCTCTTTGCACTTCTCAGACCCCTCTTCCACTGGGAGCTCTGTCCCGATCGGCCTATCCTGGTAGAGTTGGCTGTGGGCAGTGCCCTCTTCAGTATGGTGATGCCCATGCTGGCACCAGGGCTCAGTAGCTCCCTAAGTACTGTCATGTGCTCCCTGGGCCACTTGGTCTGGTACAGCTTAGCCTTTGCCCAGGCTCTACTGATAGCATGCCGGGCCTGTCTGGGTCCCAAGTTGGGCACATGCCGGGTCCCAGGCTTTACCCTGGGGCTCACTATGGGACTTTGGGGAATGGCTGCCCTCTTGGCACTGCCAACTGCTTTGACCAGTGGTAATTCTCAAGGATACTGTGCTTTGAACGTCAACAGAGGGCTAGGGACTTTGCAGTACATGCATGTCACAGTCTGTTTTATCATCTTCTTCTTGTTGCCAACGGGCTTGGTGGGAGCCAAGGGGCTAAAAAGGGCACTGGGCGGGGGACCAGGACCCTGGGTTGATATTCTTTGGGTGTGGTTCATTTTTTGGTGGCCCCATGGGGTGGTTATGGGATTTGATTCCCTTGTGAGGGCCAGGGTCTTGCTCTTGCCAACGTGTTTAGCTCAGAAAGTCCTGGACCTGCTGCTGCACCTGGCAGAAGCCCTGGCCATCTTGCATTGCGTGGCTACACCCCTGATCCTGGCTCTGTTCTGCCACAAGACAACCCACACATCCTTGTCCTCCCTGACCCTCCCTGAAAGACGGTCGTCTCTGGACATCCTAGGGGGCAAATCCTAGCTCTCGCTCCACCTGCCAACCTGAATTAAAGTATGTGTTGCTTTTATGCAGTGAGTGGTTTTGCATTTGTCGTCAGAGGGTGAAGAGAAGGGAGGAGAATGGGGAGCGAGGCATTTCACAGCACACTTCTGTCAGAGAGCGTTTCTGTAGCTGGCTCAGGGAGAAAATGAGTGATGTACCAACACCCTCAGGGCACACAGATGTTCTCGGGAGGTGCGAGTTTACAGCCATCTCAAGGCGGAGTAGGAGCAAGTGGAACCAGAGCAACAAGGTAACAACTAAAACAAGGATATTAGTAGAGATGGCTTAGAGGTAAAGAAGAGAAATGAAGAGAGAGCAGGTGGCAAAAGCATAGAAACTGGAGAGGGAAAAGACTGAAGAGGAAACGCAGTGCACAACGGTCTTTCCCCCAGCTGACCTACCTAGTCTTCCTCTCTCCCTGACATCTGTCAGCCTGTGTAGAAATCAGGGTGGGAGCGAGGAAGCTGAGAAGGATCCTGAAGGTCTAACTTAGTTCAAGGAATTCTAAAAGGCGTTCCCTGGTGTTATCCCTGCAAGGTTTATTCCTTACCACTGCCCTAATTTCCGTATGTGAGTGTGTGTTCATGCCTGTACACACATCTGCCGGTCTGGATCTACACTTGTGTTGGGTAGATACTACGTGTGTCTGCATCTCTGTCAGTGTCTGAGCCACAGGGACCTATGGCTGTGCTGTGACCTCTCCCCCGCCCCTCTGATTACTTCTGCACCCCAACCCTGTTCCCAGGATAAGTAGTCAGAATTTATGACTCACTCCATACCCAACCCAGTCTCTTCACCCTGATTTCTTTGCCTCGGCGTTTCTGTGTAGGAAGTGTAGAGGGAAGAAAAGATCAAAAAGTTGAGAAAGGAGGATAAACTTCAGTCGAGGGGGGGTGGGTGGGAGACTGATCTAATTCATCTCCTGATTAGAGTCACTCAAATGTCTCTTTCAGCTCCAATCTTCTGAATAACTGGAAACTGGAAACACATCTTTCTTTCCATTTTACATGTTACATTCCTATAACCTGTGTATTCCGTTCTCCAAAGCCCACCAATTCTCTGCCTGTTTAATCATGGTACAGGAAGATATTTTTTTCCCCTCAATGTCAGTAGACCCGAGAGGTTGGATGATATTTTTAAGGACCGTGAGGAAGCCCTTCATACTTCTATTGCCACCAACAGTCTTACCCTTTTTACAAGCGTGCACACATGTTACTTGCCTACACCTAGTTCCTCCCTTACCCTTTACAGCTAAAGGCAAGGGAAAACTTGAGAGGCTGCCTCACATCATCTGAATCCAGCCAGATGTCATCTTTGCAGTTTTCTAAGAGACCTATACCTGGCTTCTGTCCTACAATGTCCTGCTCAACTCTTTGGACTTGAGGCTTCATAGAGAGACCAGGAGAGGCACAGAGATGAGTTAGAGAGTATCTTAGGCAGCAAGGTGCGAAAGGGTTCAGAGAATATTCCTGGGTGGGTGCTGTGACAAAAGCTCTAAAGCACCTCTTGTTTCTTAGCAACAAACAGACTTGCTGCTGATTGGTGCACCATAAATGGAAAGGCGGGACCAGAGACCGATTGAGACGCGGGAGCCTTTCTCAAACGAAAAGGGAAGAACAGAGAGAATGTAAAAAAAAAAAAAAGGAAATAATTGACACTCGTAAATCATGCTAGGTCCCAACTACAGCTCATGAATGGGTCCCAACGGTTTCTTTCTTATCTTCTATTCCCTCTTCACCCTCTGCACAGAATCCCTCCTCCAGCTGCTGGCCACTCTGGCAATCCTTCCAGATGTTGCCCTCCTCGCAGAGAGCTGGCCTCGAGGCTGACCTACTTGAGGGGGAGGAGAGGCGGCTTGCTTCTTTCTGAATCTTTTTAGCAAGACACTGATGCAGGCGAGGTTTAAATTAAGGCCCAGCAGGGGAGTGAGGGTGGTGTCATCTTTTCTACTCCCTGTCCCGTGCTTCCAGCTGGAAATCCCTCCTCCCTCCAACCTCACTCAGGAGAACCCAGACTCCTGGATAATAACAGTGATCACGTCCCGCACAAAGGAAAGAAAACAGCAGCAGCAGCAGCTAAGAGGTCAGGGGTGAGGGGGGAGGCAGCCTCTTCCCCAGCTATTTCTTCCTTATTCACATTCCTGAGGGCTTTGACCCATCCCGCCAAGGGCGGCCTTTCCCTGTCATTCTCTGCACTGCATTTGGATAGCTCTTCCTTCCTTGCTTCGAACCCTGTCCTCAGTCGTTTCGTTAAGGCTTGCTCCGGCGTGGTCACCCTTGCCCACTGAACCCAGTGCATGCCAAGCACTCCAAAATGGGTCTGAATATGGCGTCTTTTCTGCAACCCCTCAGGAATACAAATTCTGTTTCCTTAGAACCCTTAAGAATTTAATCTGAGGGTTGGCAGGGACTTTAGCCGCGTATGAGTTATTGGGCCTCCTGGCTAAAGGGCGGTGGAAATCCTCTCAGAAAGATGAGAGCAGGGAAGGCAAGCTCTCAGGGAGCACATGAAGCTCTGGGGAAGGTCAATTTGCATTAGGTCTTTAAGGAGAGAGGCATCTTTCCAGAGAGTAACTTGAACATCAGGTGGAAACCCTTCCTCTATTTATTCCAGACTGGGGCCCCTCCCAGAGGATTTAAAAGTCAAATAGCTCAATACCTTGTCTCTTTACTCTTTTACCAAGCCCTCATCTCCCTTTTCTTCAGCCCCAGCATCCCTCTCCTTCCGCAACCCCCCTCAGAGGAATTCTGATTGAGAACTTCACTGGGATTTCAAACCCAATTCATCGCCAACTCTAATTGCCAGGGATTTGCATGAAAACCATCGTATGCTATCTAATTATTCTGACAACAGCAGCTCGCCGTCTGGGCACAAAGAGAATCGCAGTTTTAATTAACAATAATGCACCTTGCAGAGGAATGTGACTGTTTAGGTTAATTAACAAGTCCAAGTCCCTCCAATTCATCTGTAGACATCTTCCAGGTGAGTTGGGCAGGAAGGGTGCAGGGGAGTGGGAAAGAGTAGAGAAATCAGTTCAGCAAAAACACATGCTTACTTTTTCTGTAACCATATGGCGAAGGAGTTTTTATAAAGGGCATAGTGTTTGTCTTTTCCATCTATATTATTAGCTTTTGAGGGTGCATAGGCCTCTTAGAAAATCTGATCAACGCCATGGAATATTCTTTAGGACAAGATAATACAACATCCCAAATGTTGTTCTCCACAGTTGACCCTAAGAGTAAGATCGAAATGCATACATACTACCTCAGCTACCTCCAGGAGACAGGCCTCTGGAAAATTGATGTCAAAGCATTTGTGGACATTGCTTTGGGGGATGTATTGGACATCTTTGGGTCACACTTAGATTTACAAAACTTTTTAGACACACCTGTATAAATGAGAGGACAAAAATCTTTGTCATTTTAAATTAATTATCTCTATTTATTGTCTAGTGGTTTACAACCTTGGTTTCTAGCAGAAAAACTCCAACTTTCCCATTTCTGACTACCTTCTTCTATCTGTTCCTCCTATATTTGGGGATATTGTGGTCTCTTTAAACTGGCCCAAACCAAAACCAAACTCATTGCTGTCAAGGTGATTTCCACACCTGGAAGCCCCATGTATTACAGGATAGAACTGCCTTCATAGGATTTTGCTTATAATCAGTACAGAAATAGATCATATCTTTCTTCTGAGATAAGACATTGGGGCAGTTAAACCCCTAAATTCTGCCAACCCGAAAAAGCATGCAGTTCAAATCCACCAGCTGCTCTATAGGAGAATGGTGGGCAATCTCCTTCTGTGCTATCTTAAAACCCATTGCAGGGTCAACTCTAAGTCTGTTCTGACTCAATGGTACATAACAAATTGCTCACTCCTTTATCAACTCACAGCTGAGCATCTGTTGGGTTTCTGAGGCTGTAAATCACAGGAGGATATTGTCCACATCTCTCTCATGGAGCTGCTGGTGGATTTAAACCCTATTGAAGTACGGCCTTTGAATAAGCATCTCTCTATACAGACTACTCCGAAAGAGCTTATTTTTGTTATTCGAGTATGAACTATTTGCACTACTCAGGACCTTCAAAGTAACCTACCCCTGGAAGGTCCCAGATAAAGTTACACGTTCCACTCTTTGGCTTCCCAGAACAATTTGTACTTTTGTGTTGGGTGTTTCGTAGATGTTGGGTATCCAATAGATGGTGAAGAGATTGAGATTGTTAACAGCCTTAGTTTGCTTGGCTCTACAATCAACACTCTTAGTACCAGCAGTCAGGAAATTAAAAGGCGAATTGCTTGGGTAAGTCTGCTGTCAAGGACGTCTCCAGAGTCCAGAAGAGCAACAATGTCAGTCTGGAGACTAAGATGCACCTGATACAGGCCATAGTCTTTGCAATTACTTGCTATGCATCAGAGAGCTGGACAGTGACTAGGGATGATAGAGAATTGATGCCTTTGAGCTGTGGTGCTGGTGAAGGGTATTGAATGTACCATGGACTGCTAGGAGAACAAACAGGTTCATCCTGGAGTGGGTGAAACCAGGCTGCTCCATGAAGGCAAGCGTTCTGAGGCTTCATCTAATATACTTTGGGTATGTTGCAAGGAGGGACTAGTCCTTGAAGAGGGACATCATGGTTGGAGGATGGAGGGACCATGCAAAGAGAGGAAGACCCTCAATGAGATGGATTGATTCAGTGACTGGGATAATGAGAGTAGATGTATTAGAGACAATAAAGTTGGCACAGGACAGAGCAGGTTTCAGGGCTGTTGTACATAGGGTCGCTATGAGTCGCAAGTGGCTCAAGGGCACATAACAACAACAACAACATATATAGTTCCAAGCTATGTCGTTATAAACTATGGCTTGGTGTGTGTCTAATTCCTCTAGATTGTTACTATTAATTTTTGAGGGGTGCATAGCAGGAGTGGCATCCAATTCCTAAACCATGCCCCTGGAAACTCTTTAATCTTGGAGAAAC